TTAAATCGCTCTTTAGACATGCTCAATCCAGCCTGTTAGATTTCGTCCAACTTAAGTGAAGGTTTTTAAAAATCCAGTACTTTGAAATGAATGTAGTACATAAAAGAAAAAAATAATTGTAAAGTAGTCTAATATAGTTTGGTGTCGATGGAATCAGGTGTCTCAAGGAGACTGTATACATTCATAAGATCAAAACTCGTAATTCCACATCGTTTGGGTAATACATCGAGAATGAAACCATCATCATCATCATCAAGAATTATTTTTATCATAATGTCCATCCTTAATATTGCGGTTGGCCAGTACTTTTAACCAGCTGAGCCACAGGCGACACTTTCCTTATAAATTTGATCAGGATCACTCTGCACACATTATACTAGTAGCATTATAATCTACCCAGCTGTAGGATACGTTTTGATTTTAACCATTTTTGGCCAATAAGTAGGAAAGTTCCTCGCGGAATAATTTTATACATGTAAATTAGAAATCATGTTCAAGCTCCACGCATAATATTGTTCTTTAAACTCAAAATAGAGAAATGATTGTGTGAGTGTATTGAAAGCAAATATTGTTTGTCAATCTGTTAACATTTTGATAATATAAGTGAAACAAGACTTTGCCTGGCATTGTGTTATGATATAAAACACGAAAAACAAATAACAGTTAAATAAAGTTAAACAAGTATAAGTAACGTGAAGCTTCAAACTGTAACATATGTATTTTGCTGTTTCTGTACTTTGGAGGCGTGAATTTAGATTCTTCTGTACGTCTATTTGTATTCTCTAAAATCCTTTCTGCCTTACCTCCTTTCTTTCTGAAAGTCATCACGTTCAACATCACATTTAAAACGATACCATGCAGACCTGCTCGTAAAATATGACTCATTTAATGAAATAACTGTTACAATCATTACAAGTACAGGTACCAAATCCATCCATTGCACTATAGGCGTGAATATGTTCCATTCAAAAGCATGGGTAATGGGTGCAACAATACTAAAACTAAACATTAAAGAATATATCATGGCACTCGTATAGCTTTATTCTGGCTACGCCGCGGTGTTTTAGTACAAATGTTTGTTTTTATTACAGATACAAATGAAATTGTAAAAGTTAAATTGCAAGCAGTTAACCTCACCATAAATACATACAGCAAAAATATACGGATATCAATTATTGAAGATTACCGTTGATATTGGGTTGTTTGTTATCAGCTGACAGCTTTAAGTAATCTTTGTACTTTACTGAAGTCGCATTACTAAATTGGTCGGCATTTCAAAATTGGGAAAGAAATATCTAAATTTGTATCTTTATTATAAATTATGTAATTTTTTTATTTTATTGTGTACCAGCTTTTGCCCGCGGCTCCGCCCGCATGTTTTTTCTAATCTTTTCTTTAAAAAGACAACTCCCGCATTAGGAATAAGTATATCCTGTGTTACGGGGGACTTTACAATCATACATGTAATGGGCACAAATAACACCCAGACTCAGAAAAACAATTTGTGGATCGCACGAATCGTCATGCATGTGCATCGGTTATCGCGGGAAAAAGTAGCCTATGTTACTCACTGATGTAGCTTTCCATTACTGAAAAAAAATTGAAATCAGTTTATTGGTTCAGGTGTGAAAGCAAAACAAACAAACAAACTCACTTTCACATCTATAATATAATATAAGTATGGAAGTATAGATGTTATCTTGATTTTCTTAATCCTCATAAAAGTATTTTTTAGGTTAGTATTGTTTGGATTTTTTCTACGAAGATACTGGAGCTTTACAAAAGAAAAGAAGTTTTTTGTCTCTATCTGAACCACGTTTGCATGCAGAGGAAATAAAAAAAACCAATCAATGAACGACCTGTCCTTTTGACTCCTTTCAATATCATTGTTTTGCATATGTAGAAAAAGTATTTCTGAGTCCGAGTTGAGATGTGACTCATGGCCCATAAAGCGTATGACGGTCAGTAGCGAGAGATTATCGTCGTCCAAAGGGGACAAACATCCAACGTGTGAATTAACATACGCATACCGAACTGCTACACACTTTGTGTCTTTCAGAAAACAAGACGCATAGGCACCCGTTCACTAGTGACACTGTGGGATGCTTGTCCTTATTGAACCTAGATATGTTCCTCTAATTTTGGTTAAAAATGTAAATATTCATTTGGCAGTTACTTATCTACACGTTTTATAAAGTATATGAATGGAATAAAAAAAGTTCGAAAATCAGTTTAAAGTATTTGGAATTGCATTGGAAGCATATTGTTAAACATATTATTATGAAAAATATAGCAGATGAGAAAATACAATCGAGGTTTTCCACAACAAGCCACTGCAGCCTGAACAAGTAATACATTTCCCATTTTAAACGCAATCAATGGTTTGTGGAATAAAGGGGACTAAAGTTGTAGTTAAGTGGTTTTGGTAATGTAAGTAAGCTTAATTAATCGCATTGCATTTAACGTACAAAATGGCCCGTTTGAAACAAAATTGTTCATTTAGGCTTGTAGTCATGTTAGTGTGAGTCTGCTCTAAATGGTCTAGTTATACATTTTAATACTTGTATGTTACAAATCGTAGGTGTTATTTCTGTAGGTATTATAGTACGTCAATGTAATTATACTTACTTTAATAGTCGTCTATTGGGCATACGGCCCTCCTTAGAAATGAGGTTTTATATTTATACTGTAAAGACTACACATTGCAAAGTAAAGCAATCCTGTCAGGGATAGGTCACTATTCTTAACACATTGAGACTCTGCCGTGCCTCGGAGACCACGTTAAGAGGTCGGTCCCGGTTGCCATTATAAATATCTGTGGCAATCGTTACAGGTAGTTCGAGCCCGAAAAAGTACGAGTACTTGGTTGTGGAAGTTTTATGGCAGTCGTTCCGCGTAAAAAATCAGTCGTATCGTTGTAGACCTAAAGTCGACCCGAACCTAGTTTGGGAAAAAGGAAGATATATAATTAATATACACTTATTATTTTGTACGTAATATTTATTTTAGTTAACTCCACCGTTGACGGTCCCAAGCTTATATGTAAAAGGTCAACGTCGAGTCTCGGGTGACGGTTAACTAACTCGATCCAGCAGGCTTAACAAACCAGCATGCAACAGAGGTAGGAAATGATCTCTGCACCCCGCAACTTCGTCTCCACTCGAAGCGAAATTGTTGGCTTTGGCTTAACCGCCCGGGCCAAGAGGTAGAAAGCCTCGATAAAACTTTACCCCAATCCTACGGTGGGTCCCATTTTCATCCAGAAAACCTCAAGACAAATTATTTACGCAACAAACTCTTAATACAGTTTTCTTTAACAGAATGAAAACACAATCACTGAATAACCTCGACAACACAGACCCAGCTAATACGGAAACGACTGCGGCCTTATCAGACAGCGGACAATGGAACCCGCAAGAGACAACGAGAAAGTCTAGGGAACAATCAAATCCCAGAACAAAAGAAACTTGACGCATACTGGCTTAGTCAACCCACACCACTCTGAAATCGCTACCAAAGCACCGCCTTCATATGTGGACTGAGTTAGCAATATCCAACCACTACATAAGAGGCTTGACGAAGTAGCTAAAGACAACTATGAGGTAAAAGTCCTCCGCAATGAACAAGTAAGAATACAACCTTAATCCACAGAAATATATATAAAAAAAGTAAAAAGTCTGAAAGAAAAAAATACAGAATTTTATACTTACAAACCCAAACAAGACCGTGACTTTAAAGTACTACTTAGAAATCTCCACCCTTCTACAGACCTACAAGAAATATAAGATGAAATAGAAAAGCATGAACATAAAGTCACCAATATTTGGAATGTTAAACAAAGAATTCCCAAAAAATCACTACCAATATTTTTTGTGGAAATAGAAGCCAACAAAAATAAACTTATCTACAATATAAAAAGTCTATTGCACTGAAGAGTCATAATTGTACCCCCGAGACCTAACGTGAAATTCCACAATGTGGAAATTGACAACAATATGGACACACGAGAAAATACTGTTTTAGGATGTATTAAATGTGCTGGAGACCATGCATCAAACAATTGAAAGTCTTAAAAGACGTCAGACTCTGTTAAATGTGTTCTTTGCGAAGGAAACCATCCTGCGAACTATTAAGGTTGCTCAATATATAAGGAACTTCAAAAAATCAAATACCCTACTAAAGTAATAAATCAAAGACACAAAATGCATACCGAACAACAAAAAGACAAGGCGGATAGTATAAGACAACAGAACCGACAAGCGTATAGGGAAGCACTGTCATCTAATAATCCACAGCACTAACAAACAAAGTTCAATTGAAACACCACATGTACAAACAATTAATAACGACCTAAAAGAAATGATAACTACTGTGACTCAACTAATGCAAACAACTAATATCAATAACCAATCTCCTTATGGAAATCACGTCCGAATTATCACGTTCTCCTCCTTAAAAATTGCTCTTTGGAATGCCAATGGACTTTCACACTACGTCTTAGAAGTAAAGACATTTCTACAAACAAACAAAATTGATATCTTACTGGTTTCTGAAACGCGCTTTACCAAAAATAATTTTGTGAAAATGCCAAACTACACATTCTACCAAACAATGCACCCAGACGGAACTGGAACATTCAAAACTCCTGAGATACAATCCACAAGGGTTGTCATTGAGGATTGGCTAGGACATCTAGTGGTCACTGCACTGTATCCCCCCCCCCAAACATGCTGTAAAAAAGAGGACTACGTCAACTTTTTCAAAACACTGGGGCCAAAGTTTATAGCGGGTAACACTCTGCTTGGCTCTCGCTTAACAACTCCCAAAGGACGGCAACTCCAGTCCGCTATTAATGATCTACACCTACATGCAATTTCAAGCGGTGGTTGGACCCAAGAAAAGGCCCAGATTTGGTAGACTTCAGTATCATCAAGGGCATTCCTGCTGAATGCTTCAGTTGTACCTCATGTTATGATCTCTCATTTGATCATAGCGTTGTAATGCTACAAATCTTAAAATTTTTGTCACATGTTAAACCTTTAGCGAGACTACACGGATGCAGAACCAACTGGAACATGTTCCGCTTCTTGTTAGAGTCTTCATTAAATATTATACTTAAGACTGAAGAGAAAATTATGTTAGCTGTTGAATATTTCAATGAGAGCATCCAAAAAGCTGCTTGGGATAGAACTTCTGCCGCCAAGAAACACACATTTCTGACTGCTCAGAGCTGGTTCGAGAACTTGTAGCTAAGAAGAGAAAGGCCCGATAACTGTGACAATTCACCAGATTTCCTGCCGACAAGACAAGACTCAACTTCAGCCAATGTCGCAGAACTCCATAAGCATCTTGATGAACCTCTCCAATTAGACTTACCAATTGAGAGGACTCAGCCGCGTGAAGTCCTTGAAATTATTAGAAACCTAAATTTAAAGAAAGCTCCTGGATACGACTTAATTACAGGGAAAATTCTGCGTGAACTACTCGGACCGACATATGGCATATGTCGCTGGACTACCTACCCTTCAGGACAATATCTAAACTTCATAACAAATTGCCGAATGTTCTTGGGAGAGGAGATCGCAAAATCACAAAAATAATAATATTGATGTAGAATAAATGTGTTATTTAAATATATGATACATAGCACTTAAGTGCGTGAGTGTAGTTTTTTCCCTTAATCGGCTCTTACGACACCCACGGGATGAATAGAGATGGTGACATTCAGTATTCTTAATCCGTCACCACACCATAATATGTATATTTACATTTATTTTAAATTTAAGGCAAATAACATATTGATACATGAAATTATTGAAATTGATTTGAAACGTATCCATTATTACTATTAATTAAAAATTATTATCTATCATAAATTCACAGTTCTTCATCTCTGTCACAATTTTTTAAAATATGTTATCTACTTTTGTGACAATAAAATATTTTTATATAACTGAACTGAAGATTATTGTGAGATAAAAATAAAATTGAATCGATGATTTCTAAATTAATTCTAAGGAATATTTGACTATGTGTAACTTAATCTGCATGATTTTAACTATTCTACAGAAGTGATTCCGATAAGCTGGCACAGCCGGGTGATAAACATGTCACTGGATCGATGATCCAATCAATGGGGATCAGTTGTGAACCGGGTCGGACGTGTAGACTTACACCCTGAGTTATTGCAATCGGAGGGCACGTGGCTATTCCATGGCTTATTCAGCCGTTATTAGAACGATGTTATTTCTATTAGAAAATAATAAGTTACATGTATACCTACTTGTGTATTAGATATTTATTAAGGGAAATGTTATTCAAGCCGAAGTAGGTAGTTTAATTTTCGTGTCTGTTTTTTATGATGTAGGGGACATTCAATCACGCGAGTGACCAGGGACTCAATTCTGCTATTTTACCTTAACGCGTAGCCACTGTCATTCTATTGACACGCTATTGTGATGCCATTGACATCGGAAAAAATATCGATATTCTCTTAACACACTCGTAAATTCAGTGTCAATAGACTATCGATTTAGTAATATAGGTCATCAATGGTGATATAAACAACATTGCCATATCTAGGAAATTAAATATATCATTTTCGTACAAATTTTAAATGTACGGTTTACACAAACTATTACAAAGTCATCGACGAAATTCGTATCAGTGACGAGTCATCAGGAGGCCATTGGCCTTACTAATTTGGTAGAATAAGAAAAGTGCAAAACTATTCCGATGCCATTCCATCGACAGTCTATTGATACTACATTAAAATAGCAGAATTGCCCTGTTGGTAAGTTGCTTTCATCGCCCATTGACACCTGCAACTTAAGAGTCACGAATGCGTTAGCTGCATTTGCAGGTGCGCACTTTTCTTGAAGTCTTGAACCTTATGTAGGTCCGGCAATATCGTAGGTGTTGATTTTGTCCCGCACAACATGGTCGAGTGCTAATTGTTCAATATACACAAAACATTAAAAAGCACCGAGGAGCACTTTGTTTAAAGAAATAATATTCATGAAAAATATTAACCCTGGTACCCCGACGTACCCCGGGGCATCTACGGCGGGTAGATGACCCCCTCCTGTGTGAGAACCCCCATGTTTCCTTGGTACTCCTCTTTCCCCTTTTTGGCACGCGCGCTCCGCAGCGCGTCTCGTCGCCACCCTGGCCTGCTTCTGCTAGAGTGACAGATGGAATCACCTGACACCTCCGGGCCTGCGCCTATGGAGGACGGAGGTCATTCTGCGACCTCCGGCGCCCGAGTCGACTACAGACTAACCTAGCATTTAAAGTTAATAAAAGTTGAACGGGTACTCTGATGTGTCCTAAAAATCCTTCATTTATTTTTTATTCATCTCATTTTATCATCACATTAAATGCACTTTACCGCTGAGTCAGCCCAAGTTATAAATGAATTGCTTCATTAAAGCAGCTTTTTGGGACTAATCCCGCCCACACGCCCCTGTACACCAGGATCCACAGCAGTGACCCACGAACACACGAGCAGCTTATGGAGTATGCGCCATATTCCCTTATGTACTACTTTTCATTTACACTTTAATTCGGTAAACGTATTTTGCGGACACTTTCTCTAACCCAACCAAACTTTGGACATTTCTCGTTTTACTTTGTCCCTGGAGGCCGCAATTTTTTGGAACAATAAAAGGCTAAACTTTTAAAATATTGGATTATTGTTCTTTTCTTGCAACAATACTCATAAAGTTATCGTTGAGGAGAGACATAATAATATCGTTAAACAAAACAATTTAAATAACCATAGAGCTGAATGAATCTAGAATAGAATAACAAATGAAATTGTAAATTCAAATTTAAGTTTGTTTCCTAATTTTACATATATTCCGGTGAGAAATAATTTATTGACAACGAAGTAGAGTAGAGAACTGTGGTTGTCAATAAATTCAGAAATGATTTCATTATCTTTTTTATATACCAGTGTAACTTATCTTTATATAAAGTGAGATAGGTCAACATATTTTTCCTGGATCTATGTATGTATTCGTAGCCGTTTTCGTAGAATTTGTTACTTTTTACCTTTTATTGATTCAAAATAGTAGCTTTCTGCACCTTTTCTACATATAAATTTTAAGTACCTTAAAAAAGCGGAGCAACGAAGAATATCGCTTTCTTCCTTCAATTTTTTTTAAATCCCTAAAAGTATGTTTAAATCTTCAACAGACAATAATATTTGAAGTACTCATATCTCTTAACTGTATAATAATAAAAGCTATCGTTACAAGTCGGAACAAGTATTAACTAGAGGATAGATTTTCATAAGTTTAAACTTAGCCGTTGCTGGCCTCAGGCCAAGTGCTGCCAGCGGAACAGGCACGAAAAGGTATGGGTGGAGCTACGCGCGTGTCTGTACTCCTTGACAAGGCTACCTGCTACCTGTATTCGAGTTATGTTAACGCTAAATATCCACGGAAATATATATTACTAAATTTATTCACTAATACATTGTAACACAGTACAAGCAGTTCGCATCGGGAGCCGGGCTATCAATCTTCAACACAGACAATTTATTACAATCCCGAATTACGGCAATAATAATTACCAACCTTAATAATTTCCTTTCCAAATAATAATTCAGAATTAACAAGATCCACGTTTGCCGACTGATTTGTTGTAGTTATAAATATCCATCTACGTACACCGCTGACCACACACAAAGCTATATTTTATGATTGATGGTACCATTAAAGGTGAGGCTTGCTGTATTTAGCTACGAAATGTTAGCAATAAATTTCAATTTTTCACAAATTTGTTATGCGACTACGAAAATGTTGGATTATTTAGGTAGGCATACACAGTGTAAAACACTGGCATGACGTCAAATAAAATGAAGGAGAAAATAAAACGAAGTCAATTCTGAAATAAGTGGAACACATCTTTCTCTCCCGAGGGATCTATCGGCGTATCGACAGGGGACTTGGCGGCGGATCCCGTTCAGTCAAGTTTATTGGCAGAATTTCAATGCTTTGTCGTCTGCGATGTAATGGCAATTTATAACTGAACGATACGCTCGATTTGGTACGAATTTTCGAAAGGGAAAGGATGAGATCAACATTTCAATAGCTTTCTAATCAACATCACCCGCAAGGCACACGGAATTGATTGTCAATGCGTTGATAATGATTTCACGTTTGACTAAACTCAAGAAGAAATGATATACATTTTGTACATTTACTGACAAATATATTCGCGAAATTAATAAAGGAGGCGACGATATTCCACTAAAAACATTTACTGGTGCTTTCTCTGAACTAAAACGGGTAAAAGAGGGGTGGTTTTGTTTATTTCATTGTTCTAAAGTTACTTGTTTTTTACACGTTCTCTGCTCTATTTGGGTATTTATTCTCGATAGTGTTTTCTTCTTAAGTAGACTTTTGTATCATTAAAATTGTTTAGATTAGCCAAGAAAATTAAATGAATTCAAATTTCACTGTAAAACATAATTATATAGATTTACACATAGTTTGTGTGCTAATAATACAATATACTTGACTGCACGGGTGGCGTAGTGGTTTAAGTGGTTAAATCGCTCCATCCTACTGCGCTGAGTGTTGTGGCTTCGAAATCTACGTGACGCAACTCTTTGTGTCACTCAAAAATTGTTGTTCTGAGTTTGGTTGTTCTTGGTGTCCGTTGCATGTGTCTTCCTAAGGGCTCCCCCACGACCCAGGATGTATTCCAAGGACGGAAGTTTTCAACAAAACAATAAAAAATAAAAACTTTAGACAATCACAATTTTTATAATACACTAGGTTTGTCTTGAATGGAATTCCAAACATTATCCATAAAATTAATTGCTATTTAATTTACTAATTTAATAAATACATTAAATAATTATAATAATTTAATATTTACATATTATTTGGTAGAAAGTTATTTTCGATACTCCGTGCATAAAATTTTTAAACTATCATTTGCGTGAACTTCAGAACTATTTCTTTGTTAATTTTAATATTTGAAACACTTTGCACAGCTATCTGTCGGTCGATACTTATTTAAAATTGAGTTATTAAACTTCCCATCGCATCTGAGAAGTTAAATTGAAAACCATTAAAAGCCAATCATTGGTGAATATTTTGGGCTCCTTTAAATTGCTTCGAATCCGCGACTATCCATTACTGAAATAGCGTTTTCAAAAAAACGTCAAGGAGGTGAAGCTGAACCAATATATCAACCGTCCGTGCTTCGCGACCACGTCCTGGGTGACTGATAT